AGAATGGGAAGCAGACTATAGGCTCTGAGCTGTCAGCACAGAGCCTGAGGTGGGGCTCAAACTTACAGACTGCGAGATCATGACCTGAGCTGAAGTCGGGTGCTTAACAGACTGAGCCACCCAAGCACCCCGAAAAAATAGAGCAAGTTTTCATCCCCTTCATTCAGGTTCCTCTAACACCATACAGTGTCTTTCATAGCCGTGGGACATTGGTGAAACAAGGAAATAAATTAATGTCAAGCAAACTTTATTGGGATTTCTGTAACTGTTGCTGTTTTTTGTCGAATTGGACCCTTGTTTGCAGCTGTGTCCTTTCTCAATGGCAGGATGCAATCCAAGATGCCGTAATATATTTAGTGCCCATTTACCTCCTTAGTCTCCTTTGGTCTGTGACAGTGTCTCGGTCTGTTTTTCTTGACCTTGACATTTTGCAGAATACTCAGGAATTTTCTGCATTGTTTCTCACTTCAGGTTTGTCTGATACTTTCACACAATTAGACTGGGATTCAGTAGAGCTGAAGTGTGCTTGTCAGAGCATCACTTAGAACACGCTGCCATGACTTACCCTTGGTGATGTGAACCCCAATCACTGGGTTAAAGCAGTGCTTGCCAGATTGCTACAGTGTAAAGTCATTATGGGTTTTTTTTCCCCTTTTCTGGACTCTGTTCTTGGGAAGCAAGTTACTAAGTTCAGCCCACATTCAAAAGGAAGGGGTACTAAGCTCCATCTATTGGAGAGTGTAGTATCTACAAACACTTAGGATTCTTCTGTAAAGAAAATTTACCCCTTCTTGCTCATTTATGTGTTTAATCATTTATATAGATCAGGATGGACTCAGAATATTTATTTTATTTTTTGGGTTTTAATCCAATGCTGTTATTATGTTATTCAAATTGTTCCAGTTTTGGCCATTGGGAACTAAGTAGTTGATCATAAATCATTTATTGAATCCTCCAACAATCCAGTGAGGCAGGTATTATGGTTATCCTTATTTTGTAGAAACTATGACTCGGAGTAAGAGACCTTCCCAATGATCCATATCATGTATGTACAAAGCCAGGAATCACACTCCAGAGTCTGTGTGCTAAGCTTTGCTATGCTCTCAGAGGGAGAAGATGTTCCACAATGTCAGTCAGTGATTAGCAGAGGTAAGATAAGAGATAACAGGTTTTGCAGCAGTTCATCATAAAGGCAGGAGTTGCAGAATGGATGAGCTTCCAAAGGTACAGTATATAGGAAAAAAAAAAAGACAAAATGTCAGAACCAAGTCTGTCACCAGGTGGGAGAAGGGAGAGTAGCTAACACAGGAAAGACAAGGACTAATAGAAGGTTGCAGGACAATGGATGTCACGGAAGCTAAGGGAAGAAAAAAGTTCATCGATGGTACGAATGGTACAATTTGGCCTGCAGGGATAGAGAATTAGCCTCTGGTGGGAAGGAAGTTAAGTGAACGTCCATAAAGCATTTTAATAGAAAGATGAAAAATAAAACAAGATTTTAGATAAAAAATTATTTTAGAGAAAGGAGGTAAAGAATTTAGTAAGAAGAGGATGCAGGGTCAAGTAAGTATTTTCCAGGCTGGAGGGAGAAGCAGCACAGAGAGAAGTTTATAGAACAAAGACTGGACAGGGGCCATGTAGACACTATGTGCACAAGACTTGGAAAGGAAGGGTATTCATCTGGAAGTCAGGGGAAGCTCTCCTCACATACTGTAGGTGAGCCTAAGAGATCAAGGGTAGTGGCACTGTTGAGGTCAAGGTACAGACACACTAAGGATGCGTTACAGGTTTCTGATGATTTCAATTGTATTAGTAACACTAGAAGCAAGGTCATCCGCAGACACTGGGAGGCAAACATGAGAGTAGTATCCAGTCCTGTGAGTAACTAACACCACTGGTCAGTATTTGGCAGGCTCGGTGAAGGGGCACAACTGGAAGTCATTCCTGCTGATAGAAGCCACTGGAGTGAAAGCAAAGACAATTATCATGATCTCAATTTTTTTACTTGATGTTTTCAGATCAAATGGTTAAAACTGAATATGGAACTCTTAGACAAAAGACACAGTATTTCTAAAATGTCCAAATTAGGTATGGTGTTGGTCACTTGCCATGGTTATATGGCGAGTGTTGAGAAGAAATATCTAATGATTGTAATGATTGTACTGGCTAAACATAAGACTAATGTAAAAGAAGTTAACAGAATGAAAACTGTAGTTTTAGGATTTTTTTCTTCAAATAATTCTAATTGCAACATTCTTAGTGAATGTTTTCCTGAGTTTAATGCCAAAGGCCTAACGTATCATTTATATTTGTTAGAGGATAGGCTTAAGCAATAATTTTTCTAATCTGAGAACAAAATACAACATGAGTTGTTTTAAAAACTCATCAAATATTATTAAAAGCGGAGTTTTAAAATTTAATCTGAGACACACCACTACATCTGTAACACCAATACAAAGTTTAAAAGAGTACTCCATTTCAGAAGCATTTTAATCTGCGACGTTACTTGAAGAGCCTTTTTTATATCCATGTAAAGGCTAAAATATCCAGGGGCAGAATTTTATAAATTATTGCTTCATGTCTCCTTCAATATTATAGATTGCCTTTAATATCGTTAAAACACTGTACTAAACATGCTCTTTTCCTCTATATGAACCAGAAAGAATTTACATTAAAACATGTTATTTATACTTGATTTTATTACCATATATTATTGTATACAATTTTGTTTGATAAGGATATTATAAATCATAGTTTGAACAAAATATGTATGACATAGGTATGCAGTAATATTTTGAAGAAAAAAGTCATGAAAACATCTACCAAAAATTTAGTAATACTGAAAAACGCTAGTCGGTGCAGAGTAATGAATGAAAGCTTCCTCATACACTGGAACACAGGCAAATCTCCCGGTACCGGAAGAACAACTCGGTTTAGGAAAAGTTCAAATTAGACATACCCACATACTCAGAAGTGCACATTATCTAAGAAATGAGTCCCTCATTAGACCAGCACACGGAGCATTCTCTGTTTGGCACTTAGCAATACAGACAAATGTGTATTTGGTTTAATGTGATTTTATTATTCTTAGATACATTTTATTTTATATAGATAAAAATATACAATATTGCTTTAAAAGTTTTTAATTTTGTAAGTGTAGAACTGTCATCCTATTCACACTTTAAAAAGCCTATTTTTCCACTAAATAATTCACCCAACGGCATGTGGAAGACACTAACAAAAATGGTTATTGTGAAGGCTTTTAATGAAAAGCTTAAATGTAAAAATGGAATATTAAGCCAGACCACTGGTCTAAATCTCTAGTGATACCTCATACTGGAAACAAATTATGAAATGTTTTAGACAAATTGGTTTTTTTCCTTAAATTGATTCTCTGGATTCAAAGTATGAACTGAAAATGCATAGAACTGACATATTTTTTCTGAAGCCACTTTGATATACATTAATTTACTAAAAAAAATTAAGTGAAAATAGTGCATTTTAATACTATACCTTGGTTTAAGATTCCGTCATGTTTTTTATAGAATACATGAAAAATGTGCCTGCCCTTCAGATGTCACATTTAAATAAATGAGTCTTATTTAAAAATTACCTGAGGACAGTAAAGTTAGCAGGGGGATCATTTGCCTTCCCAGTAATAAAGGCCATTGTATCCTAGAAACAATGTAATGTTTGAAGTTAAGAGAATGGCATGGGTGTCTTAAGACCAAAGTAAAAGCAGTTGGATTCATTATTTGAGATTTTGAAAAGACGCAAGAATATATGTAAGACTCAAATTACGTGCATATATAAGGTATAGACTATTTTCAAATGAAAGCTTGAAAATACTTTAAATATAATTTTGTTCATTATAAACTATATAAATGCACCAATCGTGTCACTCATAACAATACTTTGCATCAAACATTGCCAGGTTCAAACTTCACGCTCCTCAAATATGAGAAAAAACAAATAGTTTCCACTGTACTAGTAAGTGAAAGTTATAAAGTCAACATATTCTACCTTGAAGTTCATTCTAGGTCTAAAGTAGTTTTGAAAGAATTTATACACAGTGAAATGGTGATTAAAGAGCTAGAAATAAAGCTACTTCCTCCTCGTTGCAAGTTGATAAACACGGCCCCATTCAAGCAGATCTTTGCACACCTGCAACACTGAACCACCATGGTGGAGATTTCAGTAAAGGTAAGTTGCAGTGTATCTCTTTGTCCCGAAAACACTGTTGACATTTTAGTACTGCAGTCTTTATTTGATGATCAAAAAATAATTTGGAAAGACATTTTACTTTCAAAATTTTTCAACGTAAGGCACATAGCAACATTTAATATCTAGAAGCAACTAGGTAACATTTTTTCAATCATAACTTGCCCTTTTCCTGAAGAAAGTGGGTGAGTAGTGCAGTTAAAACATGCCTGGGCTAATACAAAGGACTGAATTTAAGAAATACAAATAACATTTGTGTGCAGAAAGTTATTAAAAAGTTTACTTTCTATCAAATATACATCCTACAGTGTTATAGGTATAAAAAATTGTGAGGCACTTACACAACAAAGGAGGAAAGCACTGAGATTATCTTTTTTATAAAAGCACCAAACCACTTATTTTAACATCTGAGATAAAAGCAGAAGATAAAAGGAAATAGTTTGTTATTTGGTGTACTAATAAGAATATATAAGTTGAAAACTCAAAAGTATTCCATTTTTTTCTGACAGAAATTTTTTATTTAAAAGTGTCATAGGGGCGCCTGGGTGGCGCAGTCGGTTAAGCGTCCGACTTCAGCCAGGTCACGATCTCGCGGTCCGTGAGTTCGAGCCCCGCGTCAGGCTCTGGGCTGATGGCTCAGAGCCTGGAGCCTGTTTCCGATTCTGTGTCTCCCTCTCTCTCTGCCCCTCGCCTGTTCATGCTCTGTCTCTCTCTGTCCCAAAAATAAATAAACGTTGAAAAAAAAAATTTTTTTTAAAGTGTCATAAAGTTCCCCTGAATAAATTTTGTATATTCTCTAGTACTCAGACTATAAAGTGAAACAAAGATAGCATCTCCCTCTCTCTGGCAGTACACTTTCTTTTTTAATGACTATAGTATATGTAGTTTTGGTAATTTTTTTTAACTCTTAAAAACATTAAAATTTGGTTTGGAATAATAGTGCGAACAACATACATCAATGCCTCCATGTAAAGTTGCTGATGTCCAACACTGATAGTTCTATTATTCTGTAATCTTGTTTCATCCATGGTGCAAATGGGCTCGGCATTACAGGAATCCACTGGATGTCAAATCGGGGAAAGGTCTGGCTTCTGACGTGTGATGAAGGGGCTGAAGGTGTGTGGGAGTCTGAGTGCTATTTATATTATTTAATTCAGCTGGATAGGTTTCAGTTAAAACTCCTCCATTCTGAAACTGCAAACAAAAATAGCAATGCAACTTATTAGATTTTTCAAGTATCTTAAGCCACTAAATGATATATTAAAAAGTATTTTTGAAATCTTTTCCTTGCATGTTAAACTTCAGATCCTTTACATCATTCAATGAAGACCAACACGGCAAATATTATGTATTAGCTGCATTTATAACAATTTGGTTTCTCCATTAGATGGTACAGATGTGTGCTACATGGGTCTCAGCTCAGAAGTGGTATTAGGAGAGTATTTGATTAACAAATTGCCTTTGGTCTGGATAGGAAATGATGGATCAGAGAGTACCAGTTATGAATCACAGTTAGATATATCCGTCATACATAGGTTGGCTTTGACCAGATTTCATCTCAGGCGAGTTCTGGGTACCAAAGTCTTGACTGCATTCAAAATGACTAGACTGGACTGCAGACGTAGAACTTTTCTATAAGAGGTCATTTCTGATAGAAGCATCTTAATATTCCTAAAATATTACAGCATGGGTATGATTTCCTAAACCATTTTTATTTGTTACAGGCTTTTAGAAATACTATTAAAAAGTATCCTAATTATAGATTTTTATCAAATAAAATGCTTGCTCTTGTCCTCTTATAATGCAAATAGTCTAATGAGTCTATAACTGCTACTAAAAAAAAAAAACCATACATAGTCTGTATGCTTTTATAGATTATAGGGCCTTTGTATTGGATATAGTTAGTGAAAGTTATGGAAATTTTCATATAGATCAAAATCATACCCTTAATTCCTTGAAACACAGATTTAAAAGATCCTCTAAAACACACATTAAATATATAGTGAAAGTCATATAATCCAGGTCTTCAGTGAATGGCAGCTGTGGAGCCTTCAAATGGAAGTTATTATGCAGAGAATGGTAGCCTTTGAGTAAGTTACTCTTACCAGTCATTAACACAATGCAAGTCAGCAACTGTCTTGAAGTATATTATCAAAAACAATGCTATTCAATAAAATAATACTGTGAGCCACATAGGCAATTTTTAAAAGTAACTCCCTGGGGAAATACATAGGTCTAAAGACTTGCTATTAACTCAATGTTGATAAAGAAGTAATACAAAGTGGCAGGGAGGGGAGAAAAAAAAAAAAAAAACTCAAAAGAACCTGGAAATGAAATTTTAGGTTATGTAAATTTTTAAGTTGTCAACAACTTACTCGTTACCTATCCATGGTACTTCACAGCAATGTTGTGAGAGTGTACTGAATAATTCTGATATAATTGAAGATGTCAGAAATGAGGATAAGAAAAACTTTCATTACCATTTTCTATCAAAAAACTCATATACAAGCCAAATGTAAGACAATTACAAATGTTAACTTGAATCTTTGTTGCTAATCTATAATACACAGAAAACAGAAACCAATGAACTTAGTTTAAATCAAGATTTTCTCCAAAAGCCTATTTAATTATACTATAAAATGAACTCAATATTTTCTAACAGAAAAGCATGAATGAAAAAATGATGTATTCCCCAGTGGCCACAGAGAGCAGCTACCATTACCGTTTAAATCTAAAAATATATATATATACACACACACACACAGACACACACATATGTTTAAATCTAAAAAATATACATGTATATATATACACATATATATAATTTTTATAGATTTAAAGTGTGCTTGCTGCTAGACGTATTCTGATGACATAGTTTAAAAATATAGGGGCTCCTGGCTGGCTCAGTTGGTAAAGCATGTGAGTTATGATCTCAGGGTTGTGAGTTCAAGCCCCTTAAAAAATAAGTAAAAATTCTGGGGGGTCCTGGGTGGCTCAACCTGTTAAGTGTCCGACTCTAGATTTTGGCTCAGGTCAGGATCTCACAATTCATGAGTACAAGCCCCGCCATGGGGTTCTGTGCTGACAGTGCAGAGCCTGCTTGGGATTCTCTCTCTCTCCCTCTTTCTCTGCTCCTCCCCTGCTCGATCTGTCTCTCTCTGAAATAAACAAAACTTTTAGACAAGTAAAAAATTTAGCACAGTACCCAGCTTGACCACATGAGAGAAAGCCAGTAAGTTATGCTTTTTTACAAGATGCTAGAAAAAAACATTCCATCTTGAAGGATAAAATGAGGATTGGGCAGATAACATGGAGGGATTGCCATAGAACACTGAGGACCCTCAGACTGAATTCAGGGATCACCAAGGACAAAGGGTCTGAAAAAATCACAACTGTATTCACTTTAAGCTGATTTTAACACATACAAAATAGATTGAGCTTTAAGAAATTACTTTTAAAAATGCAAATATATATTTGAAGTCTGATATTAAAAAAAAAAAGGTTTTTTTTAATGTTTATTTACTTTTGAGAGAGAGACAGAGAGTGAGTGGGGGACGGAGACACAGAATTGGAAGTAGGGTACAGGCTCTGAGCGGTCAACAACAGAGCCCAAAGTGGGGCTGGAACTCACAAACCACGAGATCACGACCAAAGTTGGATGCTTAACCAACTGAGACACCCAGGCGCCTCTGAAGTCTGAATTTTTAAAGGGTCCTATAATTACGGAGATAAACCAAAGGATCTATTCTAAACAATATATGACATATTCTTGTTGCTGTACCCCTTGATTTTTTTTCTCCTTGGCTGTTCAGTTAACAAAGATCTATTAGTAACACACTACTACTGGAAAAGTACTGGCTTGTTAAAAAACAGTCACATAAAAATTTTATAATTGATGTCTATAAATGTAAGAAGAACCACTAAAAAGGTTTACCCAGCCTGAGAAAACCCTTACCTTGTTTAAAAATGCCTGTGGGTCCGGCATGGTTGGATTGTACTGCATCTGGGCCTCGTGGCCGTGCGGAGGTTCCGGCTGGCACTGGTACATGGACACAGCCCCGGCATAACACGTCTGAGGAGTTACTATGGGCAGCTCTGGAGTAAGTCCGTGTGTTTGGTTCTCAGGAGCTTGTAAACACGTGAAGAAATCTTCTAAATTAGAAGTAGTAGGGTACGGGGATGGTTCGAAGGTCCCTAAGGGAAAGTCTAACTGTGACCCCTGGGAATGCTGTGGTAGCACAGACTGATCACAGGGGATAAAGTTGTGTGTATAAGGCATAGCATCCGTCTCAGATTTGTAGGGACACTCTTGACTGGTCCCAGGTAAGTCTGAAAGGACATTATACTGCTGTAGCTCTTGCTGCGGACAACCAAAAGGCACAGACTGGTTAGCGCTCCAATTGGCAAACATGCCATTAACTTGCATATGCTGCATTTTCTGACACAGTTGTTGCTGCTGCTCCGATGCTACGAGGTTTTGCTGGTGCTGCAGCCGCTGCTGCTGCTGTTCTAGCTGCAGGTGCTCCTGTACCATACAACTTGAGTTCACAGCCATGGCCTGTTGCTGCTGGTAACCGGGGCACTGGAAGGCAGGCTTTCTTAAAGAATCTTGGACATATGTCAGGATTTCATCTGTGAGGTCAATATCTCTGAAGTCATCCTCACCAGAAAAGTCAGTTCTGAAAAATTCCTCGTTCTGTTGCATGTCTTTGATATCTTCAAAATCAATGCCTAGGTGTTTCATAATGCTGTACAAGTCACCATTTCTGTTGTCTGCAAAGGGCCCTGATTGACCTCCAGAGATTGCTGGGTTCGTGTCCTGAGACTGACCTATTTGCTCGTGTTTCAGCATACTGTTATTTCCCACTGGTGCCATACTGTCTTGCCAATTACTGCATTCATTCATAGGTTCGTTAAAAAGATTTCTTTCAAAAGCTGTGTTACTGGAAGCAGGATAGAGATAAATAGACTCATCTTGTTGCATCATGGCACCCAGGAGGGAATTGGGATTGAAAGATTCCTTATTTAGAGTTGACGTGGTAGCAGCCTCTCTTCCACAAGCAGTAGTTTTAGTCCTCACTGGTAAGGGATCCATCATGGGAGGAAAAGGGTTGTTTACCTGGTATAACACAGCTTCTCCAGAAGTAAACATAAAAGGCAACTTCATAGTTCGTTTTCGTAAATGGTCTGTTCCTTCTTCATCTCTAAAATTGGGTATGAGAAAAAAAAGTTATACCAAACACTTAGAAAAATGTAATAGAAAAACAATATAAAAGCAAAATACATTGTAACTGAGTTTGATCTGGAGCATGAACTTTACTTTGACATAAATGTTCCAGATAACAAGTGTTAGAAAACTTCTTAGAAAAATTTAAGTGATTTAGAATTTATCCCAGAATTTAGTCATTCTATCCATTCTCAGTTACCACCCCTGAAATTCTCCTGAAAAAAATAAATTCAAAGTGGAATAAAGATCCAACTATAAAAACAAACTATAACACTTAGGAATTAACCATCCCAGCCAAGGCAACCCCTGTGCAGAGCAACTGGGGACTCCTTGCCCACTACAGCACTAGTCATTCAGCCAAAGGTGCCAGAGACATGCAACCTACACAGGAGATCCTTCTACACAAGTCTGCTCCTTCAAGATTGGGAGTACCTGTTAAACCTAATGAGAAAGTCAAAATGAGAAGACAGGATAACACTTCCAACAAAAGAGTAAGACAAAACTTGAGAAAAACTAAACAAAACGGAGATAAACAATCTACCTGATAAAGAGTTCAAAGAAATGCTCACTGGACTTGGGAGAAGAGTAGACAAACTCAGTGACTGCTTCAGCCAAGAGACATAAAATATAAAAAAAAAACCAGAGTTGAACACACTAACTAAAATGAAAAATACAGAAGGAATCCACAACAGGTCAGACAATGCAGAAGAATGGATCAGTGACCTGGAGCACAGGTAATGGAAAGTAGGCAAGGAGAACAGCAAAAAGAAAAAGGATAAGTTAAGGGGTCTCTGAGACAACATCAAACACACAAACATTCACATTAGAGGGCTCCGAGAAGAAGAAGACAGAAGGAAAGGGGCTGAAAAATTCCCTAAACTGGGGAAGGAAGCAGCCAAACTCTGCAGGCCAGAAGGGGCTGTCATGAGATATTCCAAGTACCGAAAGGAAACAAACCTACAGCAAGGCTATCACTCAGAATTGAAGAAGAGATGAAAACTTTCCCACACAAAAGTTAAAGGGAATTCATCACCACTAAACCACTTAAAGGAAATGTAAAGGGACTTCTTTCAGGAAAAAATAGGTCACAACAAGAAGTGAGAAAATTAAGAAAGGAAAATTGTCACTGGCAAACCTAGAGTACAGGCAGGACATTGATCATTTATAAATGCATGATTTAACCTTATGATGATGAGAAGACAAAAGTAGTAAAAATGAACTAGATCTAAATATTAGTTTAGGGAATCAAAGATAAAACATAACATCAAATATACAAAAAATGGAGAGGGCAGCAAAAACATAGTACTTTTAGAAATGTGTTCAAACTTAAGCAACCATCAACTTAATATAAACTGCTATATACTTGGGATGTTATATATGAACCTTAAGGTTACTGCAGACCAAAAATATGTAAAAGATTTAAATAATATCAAATAAAGAGAAAGAAATCCAAGTATGACACTGAAGAAAGATACCCATCAGAAGGGAAGCAAGAAAATAAGGGAAAAGAGAAGAACTACAAAAAAAAAAAAAAATCAGAACAGTGAACACAATGGCAATTAATGTATTAATTAAATATAAATGGTCTAAATGCTTCAATCAAAAGATACAAGGTGACTGGATAAAAAACAAGACCCATCTATATGCTACCTATAAGAGACTAACTTCAGACTAAAGACAAATTCAGACTAAAAGTGAAGGGATATGAAAATATTTTCCATGCAAATGAAAGCAAATTAAAATAAGCTGGGGTAACAATACTTACAAGACAAAATACATTTTAAAACAAAGACTATAACAAGAGACAAGGAAGGGCATTGCATAATGATAAAGGGATCAATCCAACAAAAGGATATAACAAATGCAAATATCTATGCACCTAGTAGAGGATCTGTAAATATACGAAGCCTAAATGAAAGACATAAAGGGACACAAAATGACAGTAACACAACAGTAGTAGGGGACTTGAGTACCCCACTTACATCAGTGGATAGATCATCTGGGCAAAACATTAATGAGGAAACAGTGGCTTTGAATGATACATTAGACCAGATGGAGTTAATCTATAACAGGGAATTCCATCTAAAAGAAGTAGAATGCACATTCAAATGCACACAGAACATTCTCTAAGACAGATCATGTTAAGTCACAAAACCAGTGTCAGTAAATTTGAGACTGAAATCCAAACAAGGATTTTTTCTGACCACAGATAAATGAAACTAGAAATCAACTGTAAGGAAAAAAAAAAAAAAAAAAAAAAAAAAAAAAAAAAAAACAACTAGAAAAAACACAAATACATGGAGGCTGAACAACAGGGTATTAAAAAACCAAAGGAACAACAAAGAAATGAAAAAGGAAATCAGAAAATACCTGGACACAAATGAAAATGGAAATACAGTGGTCCAAATCTTTGGGACACACCCAAAGTAGTTCTAAGTAGTTGAAACCAATACAGGCCTATCTCAAGAAACCAGGAAAATCTGAAACAAATCTAACCCTTCACCCAAAGCAACTAGAAAAAGAATAAACACAAAGTCAGAAGGAAGGAAATACTAAAGATCAGAGCAGAAATACATGAAATAGAGACTACAAAGAAATGATTAATGAAACCAACAGCCTTTGTAAAGATAATCAATAAACCTTTAGCGAGGATCAAGAAAAAAAGAAAGAAAATGCAAATAAATAAAATCAAATAAAAGAGAAGTAACAACCAACCCTATAAAAATATAAGAGACTATATGAAAAATTGTATGCCAACAAATTGGAAAACAAAAACAAAACCAAATGATTAGGACTGCACCAAAATAAAAAGCTTATGAAAAGTGAAAAAAACAATCAACAAAATGAAAAGACAACTTACTAAATAGATATTTGCAAATGATGTATCTAATAAGGGGTTAATATCCAAAATATATAAATAATTCATACAACTTACCAAAAAGAATCTGATTAAAAAGAGAACCTGATAGACATTTTTCCAGGGAATATAACAGACGACTGACAGATGAAAAGATGTTCAACATCACTAATTATCAGGGAAATGCACATCAAAACTACAATGAGATATCACCTCACACCAGTCTGAATGGCTACCATCAAAAACAAGAAATAACAAGTGGTAGCGAGGGTGTGGAGGAAAGGGAGCCCTCATGCAGTGTTGGTGGGAATGTAAACTGGCACAGCCAACGTGGAAAACAGTATAGAAGCTCCTCAAAAAATTAAAAAAATAACCACCATGCAATTCAGTAATTTCACTGCTGGGTGTTTACCCAAAGAAAATGAAAACACTAACTCAAAAGGATAGAGACACCTTTATGTTTATTACAACACTGCTTACAATAGCCAAAATATGGAAGCAACCTGTCTATTAAACAGAAGAGAGGATAAAGAAGACATGGTATATTGCTCAGCCATAAAAAAGAATGAAATCCTGCTATCTATAAAAACATGGATGGACCTACAAGGTGTTACACTAAGTGAAAGTTAGAGAAAGATGAATACCATATGATTTCACTTACCTGGAATCTATAAAACTGACAAAACACACACACACAAAAACAGATACAGTTTCATAAATAGAGAACAAATTGGTGGTTGCCAGACTGAAGGTGCTGGGAGGATGGGTTAAATAGATGAATGGGATTAAGAGGTATAAACTCCCAGTTATAATAAATTATGGGGATGAAAAGTACGACGCAGGGAATATGGTCAATAATACTGTAATAACTTTATACGCTGACATATGGCAGCTACACTTACGGTAAGCACTACATAATGTGTATCATTGTTGAATCACTATGTTGTACATTTGAAACTAATAAAATATTGTATGTTAATTATACTTAAAAAATCTTAGAAATCTGAGTGGGAAGAGTCATGTGTAAATAAAATGGAGAATCTCTATAGGAAAATACTAGCATAATTGACATAAAAATTAAAAATCTTACATGGCACAAGCATTCATAAATCAAGTTAATGCACAGATAAAACGTGTCATGTCTGTAATTTCACATGTATACTATATATAGTATGTGTGTGTATAAATATATACAACTTAACACCCATAGGAAGTAAAGAGCTCCAATGAGGACCCAGAGAGAGGCAAACAACATAGGAGAAAATAGACAAACAATACGAACGGACAATTCATAGAAGGAAAATGCCCTAGAAAGATACAAAAGATGTCCTGCCTCATTGGTAATGAGAAAATGCAACCAATAACCTTTTAATAACTAACAGAACAAGCAAACTCAAATAGTAAAAATATGAACAGCCCAAATGAAACCACTGATAAATGAAGAGCACTATACCTGCAATAGAACATAGATTCTTGACCAGAGCACATGGGATATGTTACTAACACTGGCTATATATTTGATCATAAAACATTTGATCATAAATTATACAAAAAATAAAATTTCAAAACACTGACATCACACACAGAATGTTTTCTAACTGCAGTGGAATTGATGTAAAATTCAATAACAAAAACACCAGGGGCACCTGGGTGACTCAGTCGGTTGAGTGTCCAACTTCGGCTCAGATCACAATCTCAAGGTTCATGGGTTCAAACCCCGCATTGGGCTCTGTGCTGACAGAACAGAGCCTGGAGCCTGCTTCGGATCTGTGTCTCCCTATCTCTCTGCCCCTCCCCCACTCACGTGCACTCGCTCTAGAAGACATTAAGAAAATTTTTTTTAAAACAAAAAACCCAGAAAATCCCCAATGTAAAAAGTACATACTAATATATTTCAAAATCATGAATAGAAAAAACAAGACAAATGAAAACACAAGGACTGTAGTTAAAGTTGTGCTTAAGGGGGAATTGATAACTTAAAGGCTGGAAAAACAGCAAATATACCCAAAGAGGGTAGAAGGAAAGAAGTAATAAGCAGATATAAATGCAGCAGAAAACAAGCAAACAATAGGAAAAATCAACAAACCAAAAGTTGGATCCTTGAGAAGATTAGAAACTAATGACTTTGTAGCAATATTATTTGAGAAGGCACAATTTGCTAATAACAATGTTTCTTTAAAAGTACAGATACTACAAAATGAAAAGGAAATACAGCATAAAAGAGAAAAATCATCATCATGTTAATGAATCCAGAAGTATTTAACAAAATTCAGCACCCATCATGATGATAACATTTAGTAAACTAAAGAGAAGGGAAGCTCTTAAATTAAAAACATATATATATATATATATACACACACACACATATATACACACACACATGAATATATATATTATACGTATATATACATGAGTGTACATATACTTAAAAATATATATTTAGTAGCAAAATGTATATAATCTGTATGGATATATGAATATAATGTATATAAATGTACAGAATGTATATGTGTATATATGTATGCATTTAGTATCTAGATATTGTATATGTATGTGTGTATACATACACACACACACATGTGTATGTGTATGTGTATATATATATATATATATATATATATATAAAATTTAGTAGTAAAAGCACTATCACAACATCATACTTGGTGGTAAAATATTAAAAGATTTCCCCCTGAGACTGGTAATAAGACAAAAACAAAACCTGATATCATTATTTCTTTCACATTTTACTGAGGGCCTAACCAGTGCAATAAAGGAATTTTAAAAAATAATGTCTAAAGATTAAAAAAATTATTGCAAATGTTATGTAGTAAATTGTGAAGGACCCAGACACTTATGAGAATAAGTGTATTTCAATAAGTTCACTGAATACAAGCCAGCATTAAAAAATTCAACGATTAGAAACTGGTGTACACATGCATACTATTCTTTTTAATGTTTTATTTATTTTTTTTTTTTTTGAGCAAAAGAGTGGAAGGGGGAGACCGACAGAGAATCTCAAGTAGGCTCCATGATGTCAGTACAAGAGCCTGACTTGGGGCTCGATCTCACGAACCATGAGATCATGAGCTGAGCTGAAATCAAGAGCTGGATACTTAACCGACTGAGCCACCCAGGCACCACACCATGCACACCATTTAAAAACAGCATCACAAAACATCAAATAACTAGAAATAAAATTAAGAAAAAAGATACGTAAGAGTCAGGTAAGAAAAATACAACCCATTATTAAGACAAAGACATAGGTACAGACTCATGTACCCATATGCACATACATATATTCACCATGTTCAAGGGTTGGAAGAGTCAGTATTGTAAAGACGCTGATTATCCCAAAATAAGCTATAGTTTCAATGCTATTCCGTTCAAAATCACAACAGATACTCCGGTGAAATATGACAACTTATTTCTAAAATACAAAGGATAAAGAAGAGAGGAGACAATGCTAGAGGAGAACAAAAATTCCTCAACTAATATGGAAAGCTGACACACAAATATCAAGATTTATTATAAAGATGTAGTAATAAAGATAATGTGCTATTGAGGTGAAAACAGACAAGTAGACTAATGGAATCCAGAAATAGAACCACAGACACAATCCCCTGATCAAAATGCAGTGGAGCAGGGAAAAAAAGCAGCCTTGTCAATAAGTGATTCTGATCAACTGGATATACATATAAAGGAAAATATTAATGTTGATCTTACCTCAAGTCACATACAAACAAAACATCAGCTCTCTAGAGCGCAGAAAACATTTCTAATACAAGTATCTGACAAAATGCTTATTTACAGAATCTATATGAAACACAAAAACCTCTGCTTGTTTAGAAAACATGTACTAAGCACAGGACTGTTATGCATTTATTTTATTTTATATATGGCACTAGCTTTTCATCTTTCCTTCATACATCAGGAAAAAACCTGGAGTCTTCTTTGGTTATTCTCTTTCTGTAATTCCACCTATTTAGTTGTTCAATAAAGTTTGTCATTTCTGTCTTCTCAATGTCCTTCATTTATGCCTTGTTTCTTTACATATTTTCAGTTTTTACTTCCAGAGAAAATTCTCATAGAATTTATTTTGAGGTTTTCATGTACGAGGATTTATAAACCAAAGTGTTATTAAAAAAAAAAAAAAAAGAAATTAAGACATGAAACATTTTGTCTTTGTACTTACGTCAGTGGTCTCTGAGTTGCAATGATATAATCTGGTCTTCCATTTTTATACACTAAGCGTGCATTAGACTGAACCCAGGTCCATCGATTGTCTTTGGTGAGAAGCCTGAATACTATCATGCCACTTTCTCCAGTCTTAATCACTAAAACAAAATCCAAAAATTAAATTATCAAACCTGAAAACAACATTTTAATTCTTTTTAATGCTTATTTCTGAGAGACAGAGACACAGCATGAGTGAGGGAAGGGCTGAGAGAGAGGAAGACACAGAATCTGAAGAAAGCTCCAGGCTCTGAGCTGTCAGCACAGAGCACCACGTGGGGATCGAACTCAAGAACCATAAGATCATGATTTGAGACAAAGTCAGTCGCTTAACTGACTGAGCCACCCAAGTGCCCCTGAAATCAACATTTTAAAGAAAACCTCTGAAACAAAGCCCCATGACATATTTTTTGGACATATTTCTTTTATCACCAAAGATGATATATGTCTTGATAACTTTTAAACACAATATATTAAAATGTATGGAAACAGTTCTTCAGAGTTGTTTATTTTCTACTTCAGACTAAACATTATTTAAAAAAAATTTTTTCTTAATGTTTATTTTTCAGAGAGAGAGAGAGCACGAGGTAGGGAGAGGCCGAGAGAGAGTGGGGACACAGAATCTGAAGGAGGCTCCAGGCTCTGAGCTGTCAGCAAAGAGCCCAACATGGGGCTCGAACTCCCAAACCATGAGATCATGACTTGAGCCGAAGTCAGTCGCTTAACCGACTGAGCCACCCAGACGCCCCAAGACTAAATTTATTATTTAGTAGATTAAAGGGAAGATTAAATCAGAAAATTCTGGTAATAAATCTAACTACAGAGAGGGTACACAATTTGGGGAAAACAAAACGATTAAAATTAATTTCATTTTAAAAAGGGAATGTTTCTACCACTTAGGAATTTATTTAACCATTTTAAAGCATAATCTACATTAGCATAGATTTATAAATTAATGATACCATTTAAAATGCCATTTAAAAATTGAGCAAAACATTGGGCAAAATGTTCATAGTAATTAAAGTACTAGACTCTTGCATGGTAGGTGTAAGGCAGTTAATAAATTGAGTGTAATTCAGGTTAATCATAATGGTTCAACATCGACTGTAAGTTTATCCAGGTGCTTTAAACTCATTACCTTATGTAAAATTGGAAACGTACTAGAATATATGCAGTTTTTTTGGACACATTCATAACAAAATACAACTTACTCCGGATATGGTACTCTGCACAATAAAGCATATCAGCAGCATGAATAAATTGATATCCTGATCCTCTCATGCACAACTCTGCTTCAGTGTAGCCTAAAACAAGTCTTCCTCTGTTTAAAAAAAAAAAAAGGTAAATAAGAAATTAAAATTTAACATAAATGAAATAAACAACCTAATTGATCAGTTATATGCTATTTTCTGCACTGTTTTCCTTGATTCAGAATTTCATATGAGCCGTAGAAAAAACCATATTCATGCAAGTGATCTCTTTTGTTTATGACTGTTAATATCAGTTTTATTTTCTTCTTCTGAAAAAAAAAACTTGAAAATTAGCATGGCTAAAGATGAATCTAACAGAGTAGATTATGTAGGTAAAACAGAATCTTTAATAAAAACCTAGAAAGCATATACTCCATTTCAAGGGGCAAAGCTTTTCACATCTGTCTGCATTCCCATATTAGGGGAAAACCAATTATAGGTTTTGACACAGTATGAATGCTAATATCACAGTCTACCTCATAATTTTCTGGAAGTTACTCAACTTCTAGTGCTAAAAATCAAATAGAGTCTGTGCATTAAAAAATGTAAAACAGGGGCGCCTGGGTGGCGCAGTCGGTTAAGCGTCCGACTTCAGCCAGGTCACGATCTCGCGGTCCGTGAGTTCGAGCCCCGCATCGGGCTCTGGGCTGATGGCTCAGAGCCTGGAGCCTGCTTCCGATTCTGTGACTCCCTCTCTCTCTGCCCCTCCCCCCTTCATGCTCTGTCTCTCTCTGTCCCAAAAATAAATAAACGTTGAAAAAAAAAAAAATTAAAAAAAAAAATGTAAAACAAACCAACAAATGTCATCAGGATAGTGAATCTTACTGATACAAGCAAATCATCTTTATGACACAGAAACTGTGACAAGTATCGTAAAAAAAATTACAAGAGGATTTGTGAGCCTGATGAAATTATTTTAAAAGTCTACACTGAAAGAGTAGGAAATAACAGCTAATTTAATAAACATTATAATTTACACTACATGTTTTACATACTAAGAGAGATTTGCTACAACAAAATATACATTTAATGAAAGAAAACTGAACAAGTTTTACTTACTTGGCATCACAACCAGTAGGTGTAAAGTCCAATTTGTGTTTGGTTCTAAAGATGAAGTTTTTGGTTCGAATTTCAAGTATGGAGGGTGGCTGCAGTGGAGTAGCTATTGCAAACAAAGCCAACTGAGGTGGAAGGATTGACCCATCTTTGCCTTTCTTGTTCTGTCCATGAAGATACTTTAACCTCCCCTGGAAATTCATTGCCTTTAAAAAACCAAAACCGGCTTATTAAAATTGACCCTTTAAAACTGTTAATTTCCAAAGGCTCAATCATGGCCATTTCCAGTGTTGTTGATAATTCCATAAAAGTTCCTGAGGCTGACTGATGTTACATCCATTCTTTTCTCCACAAGAAGCCCATTATAATTATCCCAAATGGCAATATGAATTAGATGCTGAAGGGGCAGCCCAATAAGGTACTCCTTTTTAACGGTCACAACAAAAATACCCGTATCATTTTCTGAGCTCATAAATGCCCTGTCATTCACACCTAGAGGACATAGCTCCTTCCCCCCATGGCATTCAATACATGTTTCCTGAATGAACGAATAATGCTAAAGTCATCAAGTACACATTAATTTTCAAATAGAGATGAGCTATATTCCACAGCTCATGCTCTATTTCATAACTCATGGCAATCTTTCATATACAGATAAAATACAATTTCATTAAAATGCTAAAATTAATCATAAAATCACATAAAGAATGCAGAACTCAAAGTAACAATAAAGGGTACTTTTAGAAAGAAGATTGAGGAAACAAAGATGATTTAAATGTGAACATGGTCAACTTAGTTGCTTAAAACAGTATTAATCAGGCTGAGGGATGATTCTGACCTCAGTATGATATGGTAGCAGCACAAGGAACCAAAGACCCAAATTATGCAAATTCCACCTGAGAAATACATATTAGCTGATCATCAGTACTAGGAAAGCTATCTCAAAGCACGATTCTAACTCTGGGTCAGCAAAATTATCTTCAGAAATAAACACATTAACAAAAATCACTGTTTGCTAATAATGTTTAAGATCTGGTTACTTCAAATTCCTGCTAATTCACAAGAGTAATATGCACTATGCTTTGTACTGTCTTCTGTGCCTGGTGGAGTGCACTTCCTTAAGGACAAAGACAGTATGAATCTGAGCATCCTGCGAAAGCTGCTCCCTGATTATCCTGTTCAGGTGTTCAGAACAACAGCATCTCATACCAGATGACTACTTTGCAATCATGAATATACAACCATTTTTCTTTCTTTTTAAATGTTTTTATTTATTTTTTAGAGAGAGACTGCAAGCAGGGGAGGGGCAGAGAGAGAGTAAGACACAATCTGGAGCAGGCTCCAGGCTCCAAGCTGTCAGCACAGAGCCCAACACGAGGTTCAAACCCACAAACCATGAGACCATAACCTGAGCCTAAGCCGGACGCTTAACTGACTGATTTACCCAGGTGGCCCTACAACCATTTTTCTATATGGCAGTTACTGTAGCTGTGTAGCAAAGGACATGATAATTTTCTGTTCAGCAGGAATTAAATGCAAAGAGGGTTTAAAGCAGCAGTCTGCTGCTAAACGGCTACTAAGTTCTCTTTTACATAAAAAAGTCCCAGAAATATTTTGCCAAGATACAAAGTCCATGTTATTTCACTCAGTCTTTGTTACTATATCCTAAAAGATTGAGATTTGGAGTTATGGAAGATACTAGAAATCTGAAAAAAAAAAAGTTACTTTCCTTCATGCAATTATTTTATAAAGGAGGTTTTTAAAATCAAACTCAAATCTAACCGAAGAAAATGGTTTCGACATTTATTTCTTACTTTCTGAACTGCAATTGCCAGTATCATAAGATTTTGCACCTTACCAGGAAACCAGATGAATTATCCAGGAGACACCTTAGTCGGCACACGAAGCTCCTCTCCATAAAGGAAGAGTTTTCTGGAGGAAGCTGGTCTGGGTTATAACAGACTGCTGGCTGCGGGAGGCCATTAGCTTCTAGAGAAATAATAGCAACACAAATTTACATCCCATTTTGCTGTACAATCAGGTGTTTTGGGGTAGATAAAATTTGTGTTAATTTCTTAACCAGATTCTATTCTGAATACAGAAATGAAGAATTATTTTCAGAAGAGGAGCTAATGAAAAGAAATACACGTACAGAATATCACTTTTACTACACAGAACTTCACCTACTCAGTTTTGTTTTTATTTCTATTGTCAATAATCTTCATATTCTCTAACACTTTTTATCTTCTTAGCACCTTCACACATTTCTAAAAGCATTGATTGAGAAAAGATTTTACCTTTGGATTTTTATTTGGTGCATTTTACAGACAGAACAACTTCTACACACTCCAGGATCAACCTTATACATTCCTTCCAATCTTTCAAAAGTTATTTGTATAAAATATATTACCAAGTATGGTAACACTTCTTAGCTTGAAATTCATCAATGGTGGTCATTTGTCAAAATATTCCTTAGGTCTTCGGTCTGTGACTTGGCTGTGACATCCAACTGCAGACTCCTGTCTTTCCACTTCTTCCCAACCTTAACTGAGGAGTTATATGCCTCCAAAGGTTCTCTGCCTCTTTTCACAGACTTACATTAAAAACTCCCCAACACTATCTTTCGGTAAACATTCTTACCATCAATTCTTTGTCCAGAGTCTGCACACTGCGTAGGGTTTAATGTCCAGTGCAGCTGACGCTGAAATTCAGGTCGATCTTCAGTGTGAATAAGTTCATACACACTCTGGTGTATGACATCAGACTAAAGAAAAAACACACAGGGAAATTTTTTTAAAGCCGTGATTAAAAAAATGTGTCTTACTAAGTTAATTTCAAAATGTAGCTACATTACGGGGTGGTCGTTAATGGTGATGAATGCACATGAATCAGACAGATGATCACAGAGCTGTCCAGTCACCCAAGATAGGAAAAGCTAGAGAGAGGGGAGCACTGTCACTGGTGAGCAAGAGTTCCTTGCCATCACTTCCCTAGCTGAATGCTCTTCAATTACAGAAGTGAACTCTTCACTCCTTCATGGCAACACATTAAGTTCTGTGTCTTTTTAGCCACTTCTTGATCTTTTAAATCCTATTTCTTTCACAAACGCTTGTCTGAAAATCCAGTTGTCTTAGACTTCTCTAAGCTTAAGAGTATTAAATTATTTCTTTCACTGTCCTCTAATGACTTTCTTTAATGTTAAATTTTTATTTCCGGTCCACTCTGGAAGAATAAGGGATTATACCTTTACCAGGTCAGAATCCTTCTTCTACCACTTGACTCTCCACAAGATAGGCTTTGTCGCAGAGCCAGGTTCCGCTGGTTTAGCTATCTAGACTTAAACCTCCTTGTGAACGTAACTAGCATTAAACCATCTCTATGCAGTCCATTATCCGATTACCAGAGTTCTTCTCAGAAACACAGACTGTAGCACAGGTTCCCTTAACAAAAAAAGCTTAGAGGCTTCCACTGTGTACTTAACATAGTTTAAACTTCAGTCGGTTTAGCAGTGTAGACACTGTTATTCAAGCCAGCAGTCTCAGCATCGCCTGTGAGATTGTCTGACATACAAATTCATAGGCCCCACTCTGACGCACTAAATCAGAGTATGTTGGAGTGGGGACCAAAGATTTGTGGGGACCACAAGTGGGGACCAAGTTCTTCCAGTGAGTCTTAACACATTAGAATTTAAGACCTAGTGATACATAAGAAAAGCTAGCAGTCAAGTGTACTTACAAACTGTTCTCACATCATATCAGATGCTCTTGTCCCTCAAATATGACAAACACCACTCCATTTATGCACCATTTATTCAAGAACATTAAACAAACCAAATACATTCATCTCTTTAAGCACTTCCAGTCTACTGCTTATAGTAGTGCTTCTATATCTTCTTTCCTGTGCTCCTCCTACACTAAAGTCCACCCCCTGAATCTTATACTTAAATACCATTTGCATCAGGAAAGCTTCCATTATCAGCATTAAGTCAGAATTAAAGATATAAACCATGATATTTTGCCTGTACCTTTACATATCACCTCATTCATTTCAGAGCTGCCGCATGCCCTCCATAGTATCCATAACTAATTTGATGGCAAATAATCTCCTGTCTGCCCCCCATCCAATGTTTCTAATATATAAGAGATTCCTTAATAAGTGAAAGATGAAACACAATATCCATGAATCTCATAAAACATTTAAGAAAATTATAATGCAGTAAATTATTAATAGTATAGAAATTATTAGCTGCAAAAAGATGATTTTTATTTTATAAGCATATTTTAATTGACATTTTCTTTTTTTTTTTTTTTTCAACGTTTATTTATTTTTGGGACAGAGAGAGACAGAGCATGAACGGGGGAGGGGCAGAGAGAGAGGGAGACACAGAATCGGAAACAGGCTCCAGGCTCTGAGCCATCAGCCCAGAGCCCGACGCGGGGCTCGAACTCACAGACCGCGAGATCGTGACCTGGCTGAAGTCGGATGCTTAACCGACTGCGCCACCCAGGCGCCCCTAATTGACATTTTCTATATATAAAGTGTCAATTACATCCCTAAAATGTATGATACATAGAGTTAATTTCTAAAAAGATTTTAAATGACCCAAGAAAAATATATTTACCTGCTGGAACCCTAAGTAATCTTGTATAGTAGAAGAAGCATAAAAGACCAAAGCATCTGTAGTGACAACCAGCACGAAGCCATTCAGAGCCTACAAAGAAAAAGATTAGTAATTAGAAAAAGATTCTAAAATTAGTAATGTGACTAAATAACAATATGGTCACTCATAAATAATGAGGTTGCTTAAGACTGTTACTTTATTGCTGAAAATTTTTCTCTTTTAAATGGCTAAAATCACACCTCATAAACACAGATACACTGTATACTGTGGGATGAGTGGAATCTATTCATACCTTTTGATTTAGGTAAGGAAAAGCTTACAGCTAAATTTAATGCTCAGTCACAGTAACTTCAGTAAAATTGGTTTTGTCTTCCTCATGCTTCAGGTATTGCTTTAAATATACTGTATATTTTTACTGTACATGGTTTTTAAATTGTATAAACATGTATTGTAATTTATCACATTGCTTTTTAGAGAAAGATAGTCTGTAAAGATGCTTATTATTTTCTGAAGAGAAATTTGATAGAACATCTTTGCACAGACCATTCACACATTGAAGCAATTTGAAATCTGAATACTCCCAAAGCATTAAAACAATTTAAAAACTTTTATTGGCAATATAATCACATATATGGACTGCACATAAAATACACATAATATACATGGAATACAAATATACACTTTAATTACTAATATATTCAAGTTTAAAGCTGTCATTTTATATAAGACAAATGTCCATCTAATTACTAATATAGTCAAGCTTAAAGCTATCATTTTATATGTGCTATTTCTATTATTTCCATCTATATTATACTTCTTTTTCTTTCAATTTTACCTGCTTTTGGCCAATTTTTATTTTTATTATTCCCTTTGCTCCCCTACTTTCAGCTTAGAAATTTATATTCTTTTCTATTCTTTCAATCATTACTCAAGTCCACTGTTAATATTTCTATACTCTTGGATAAAAGAAAGAGTATTTATTTGGATCACTTTAAACATTTATGGTTATCACATATTTTATCTCTATAAGCCTTCACTGTTTCCTGCTTCAGTTCAGCTCAGCAGAGTTCAGTGTGTTCTTTGCTATTTTATCATGGCTAAACCCTTCTGAGACTCTCCTCTTCTTCATGTAAAAGGAGAAATGGTGTGGTTTAGTGAGAACCATACAGTTTGGAGTCAGATTTGAACTGGATTGCTTTCCCAGTCTCTTATTATCTCCGTGGCTTTGGTTATTTATGCCTTCAAATTTTAGTGTCATCATTTGAAAAACAGGCAATTTGGCTAAGAGCCTATTTCATCTTAGCGCCTGGCACAGAGTCGGCACTCAATTAACATAAGGCACCATTACTATAAGGTTGTGGAAATGAGCAAATATTTACATGACCATGCTTTGTGAACTGTTGAGGTATATAATGACAACAATTAGCTAATTCAACACTTAATCAATGATGACAAACTGAAGAGGACAGCTATCAAGTACTGGAACTAGAGAATTACCAAGACATTGCCACTGTGCTTAGAATGCTAGCAAAGTCAGGGAAGTATCTAACTTAATTATTAGATACAGTAGATGAACAGCAGCTGTCTTCCTTTTCACTCTAATTTTTTCATCTTCAAGATTCTTGATCTCTAATATACGCCTGCAAAACTGACTGCTAAGACAATAAACAGCATCTACTATTTAACAGCCACTTTTCTAAACATTTTTGTTTATTCGTCAACATTCCATTGAGGTAGGTGCCATATTCCAGTATTGCAATCAGGTAAACGAGGTGAACTGCAAAACAACTTGCCGAAGGTCACAGAGCGAAGCTGAGCCAGGAAACAACCAGCCTTGCTCAATGAAGCCTGTCTACGTACCTATCATGGTCTGCCTCCTCTAGGAGTATTGCTCGCCAGCTGTGGCAGGACTGTTACACTTTTAATCCCAACTGGGCTCTAAAGTTCTTGATTTCAGAGATTATGGCTACAATGCCTGGTGATTTCCCCAGAAGGAATGGGGCTGGCACCCACCGGGAACTTAAATATTTACTCATTAACACCCTACAAATTATTCTTAAATTTCAGTTGGCAGTAATAATAGATATACCGTTTTTGTATTTTTTCCTTCCAAAAATATCTTCTTTTTAGATAGGAGTATCCACTTATCATATGCATTTTATTTTGTAGAGTGTCCTGCTTTCTCAAACAGCGAAATGAATTTAGTACTTTCCAATGAGCTCATTATGCCAGAAGACACAAAGATAATTTAAGTTATAATATCACACTCTCTTAGACGGTGAATTGTCAGAAATAAAAAACCTTTAAAAAGAATATATGCATCCTGATTTTATGTATATCTCAAATGATCTTAAATACTATATGGAAAAAAGTTATTATACTGAAAGAGTCAATAAAAATATGGTAATTACATATTAATGAAAGAAATTATCATTCTTTAGACTTACAAAAATTTGCCCTACCTATCTGAAAGTCATGTTGAGGTTCACTTACTATTTAACGTAAGACAAATAAACTGCAATCAGTAGTGTTAATTATTGTTTCAATGGCTCTTAACAACAAAGCTGTTGATTATAATCAGCACCACAGTAAATAGCACCAGACAGAACGTGATGAAATAAATGAAAATAAATGTCTGAAATAAATAATGGCTAATGAGAAGATACAAAAAGTCATTTTTTTTTCACTTTTATTCCTGGTAAAACAGTAATAAATTTAAGCTAAGTTTAAAAGTAATTATTTAAAATTTTTGCTAATAAACTATTATGTAACATTTTCTTTATGTATCTCCTTAGTTAAAACAAAAGGAAGAGATTTCTCATTAAAAAGTTTCATGCCAGAGGGTATACTCTACCTCTGGAAACATTCTCTATGTCTGAGAGATAATTGGTTGATAATCACATGTTGAAAGTATAAAGTTAGATGCCATTATGGCAACTGTATATAATGAAGTATACCATTTTCACGTGTCTACATTTTTTTGGTCAGCTATTTCAGAAGAGATAACAGCCAAGCATGATACTAGCAAATCAGATAACGTGTGATGCTTCCAAATGGAAAATCTACTACTGATATGCAATATAATTCATAACAGATGCATTTATTTTAAAGACCTAAATGTTTTCAATTTTCAGATAATTAAAAAAATGAGACTAGTTTTTCATTAGTATTATTTTTATTCTTTGTCGTTGACATAGAATATGTTTACAATTTGCCTAAATATTCTATGAGGGAAAAAAAAATCATTGGCCCATAATTTAAACAGTTTTACCAAATGTTAAGCATTCCATATGTGATTATTTTCATTTGAAATAAAGGACTTCCTTATTACTTTACTACATAACCCATGGTGTGTGTTTAATCACATGAAGCAACAATTATTAGAATGTTTTCCTATAACCTGAAGAAGGAGTCTTTACGTTTCAAGCTATTATACACATAAACATCCTCAGCCAGGGACAGGTTGAGTACTCATGCTTGAATATATTGAATTTGTTTAACCTAATGGGTGCAAAACTTAATTTTCGTAATTACAAAATTATAATAAAAAATGTTATAAATTGTTGGGTTACACATAAGCATTTTCAGAAAGAATTAAGGGAGCTATCAAAAGTTGCGGCTACTTTCTGTTACAATGGCAAACTAAGTTCTTCACTCGGTTCGCTGGGTAGAATTGAAGATGATCACTTAATAGTAATAACATATCAAAGCACACATCCTCATTCTATCTTTTTTTAACAAAATAAATACCTGAGAATTTTAGCTGACAATCAAGCATCCTATCAATTCCAAGAAATAGAGTAAAAAAAAAGAAAATTAAATTAAAATATGTTCACAGACAAATCTAGAAACTAAGTTCTAAAACAAAAATTAGGACTTACAGCTGTTAAGAAAATCTGTAGCATGTTGATAAGACATACCCCATAGCTAAGAGTTAAGAACATAGTGAAAAATAAAATTCAGGTAAGAACATTTTTGAACTGTTAAGTAAATACAATTAACTGCTTTAATGAAGCTATAGTCCTGAAGGGGTACATATAAATTCGGTGTCTTAAATGAGAACCTTTAAAATAATGTAGGAGTTTTGCTATTTAAAGAAATACAATAGGGAAACTGATAGGTAGACTTCTAATCTACTCGATACCATTACACTTTTTCATATAGTAGCATTATACCACTGTTGCAGTCCCAGTAAACGTGGCATGAAGCACCCTGGGTGAGTTCTAAGTAAAGGGGAGTAACTGAAAGACTGATCAATTAGTCTTCCATTTACAATGTTTTTTATTAGGAGAAGCTATATTTACTAAAATTCACCTGTAGGGGCGCCTGGGTGGCGCAGTTGGTTAAGCGTCCGACTTCAGCCAGGTCACGATCTCGCGGTCTGTGAGTTCGAGCCCCGCATCAGGCTCTGGGCTGATGGCTCGGAGCCTGGAGCCTGTTTCCAATTCTGTGTCTCCCTCTCTCTCTGCCCCTCCCCCATTCATGCTCTGTCTCTCTCTGTCCCAAAAATAAATAAATGTTGGAAAAAAAAAATTAAAAAAAAAAAATAAAATTCACCTGTAATAAGAATTCTCCTTCTTGCAGACTCAGGCCTTCTCTGAATTTTGTTCTACAGTTTTCCTGAATTCCATTTCTGTCAGCTGGGGAGGCCTGTAATGCAACTGTGGAGAAAAGGAAAAAGCAACGATAGAGTGAGCGATTTCAAAGGGCTATAATGGAAAAGTCTCTATATACCTAACAAAGACACAATTTGAAATACCGGTGTCTACTGCTACTATAACAACTAAGCAAATATTCCTTTGTCAATGAACGGTTTCCAAGTCAATGGACAGATTGCTAAAAATTATTAATTACAAATAAATAATTTATTTAAATTAATAGAAACAACTTCTGATGAGCTCATTATGATTTCTGGCACATAACTTAAGAGTTTTAAAGACCTGCATGGTACCTCTATAACTACGCCTCCCATTTCTCTTTACTCATGAAAATAAATGATTTTCATACTAATATACACTTATCTAAACAGTGAACTAGTAGTGGTGAGGAGAAAGAATCAACCATATGCTTTATTAAGAAATATATTTCCATCAAGTTTAGAATCTTCTTGTCTAACTTTTGGGTGAAAAAGGGATTAGTATTGTTAGCAGAGTCTTGCTAAATTTATAAATCAACTCATGGAGAATTAACATCGTTGTGATTTTGAATCATTCTATCCAAGAACATGCATTTTCTTCCTTTTGTTCATATCTGCATTTTTTTGTCTCACTAGAATATTTTAAAGTTTCCACAAAAAAAGATTTGTACATTTTTATGTTTATTCCTATGTATTCCATCCTGTAAAATGCCTTCCCCTTCCTAACTGCTTGTGGATTATGGATTGAAGGGGAAGTCTGTTGCCATGGTGGGATGCTTACTTCTGGAGGTAGCATTTTATAATGCTCTCTCTCCTCCCCTCCCATCTCTCTTCTTCATAGTGTGTGTGTGTGTGTGTGTGTGTGTGTGTGTGTGTGTGTGTAGCTTAGGAGGCACGACAGCTGAGGGTACTAATAAAGCTGCTATGTTCTTAGAATTTTTCCAAGCACTCTCAAATATTATCTCATTTAACAGTAGTATCTGGCAGAATTAAGTTCAAATCTTAGCTTTGCCATTTATTAAAATGTGTAGGGTCTTTGAGCCTCTGTCCTAATATGTGAACTGGTAATCAAAACCAAACAAACAAAAAAACAATTTTGCAGGGTTATTGTGAAGAGTAATGAGAATATATGTGAAGTTCCTGGCATTCAGCAGCTCAATAGTAATTTAATAAATGGTAAATTATTAGCAGTGTTTCCCAGATCCTATAGATTATCTTGTTATAATATGCAACCTTTTAGATACAATTACAATACAGTATTTCCATTTTTCTGATCTATTTTTAACCTTCAATGTCAAATAAGAGAAATCATTAAGTGAAACTGACTTTGACATTCCTTTTAAGACTCATTTCATTAGATTTTTATTGCACCAAAGATAATCTGGCTTGGCAAAAAACAAGATTTACTAATAACCAGATTTTCTCTCCAGTTGAGCAAAGCCTCACATATAAAACATTTTCACGCTGAAGTATATTTTCTGGTAAATCAGTGCATGTGTCACACTGGAATCTTATGCCAAGTTCTTGCTTTTGCAGAACTTGAAACATACCACTTTGAAAGAAGAGGCCAAAAGTTTGGCCTCTGAATGTAACAATTTCAAGAGGCCAAAGAACATATTTCCTTGGGCCAAAAAAATAGGTTGAGGTACACAAATTGATCTAACAGTTAATCAAGACCAAAGGAAATGGTTAATCTTTCTCAATGTAAGTAGAAGAGAAAAAGGCTTTTTCTCCTTTCCTGTTCTGTTGCTGCTTGCTTTCTAATGGTCAAATTTGACTGAGTGCATTAAAACCTCACAATGTCAGCGTTAACTATACTCTCACTTTTCCAAAAGCTCCAGTGCAAGGCACCATTTAAGAGTTACACCAGGGGTGCCTGGGTGGCTCAGTGGGTTGAGCGTCTGACTTCGGCTCAGGTCATGATCTCACCATTTGTGAGTTCAAGCCCCACATCAGGCTCTGTGCTGACAGCTTGGAGCCTGGAGCTTGCTTGGGATTCTGTGTCTCCCTCTCTGTCTCCCTCTCTGTCTGCCCCTCCCCCACTTGTGCTCTGTGTCTCTCTCTCTCAAAGGTAAATAAACATTAAAAAAAAAAAAAAAAGAGTTACACCAAATGTCAGTAAGTTTACTGTTAACTTCCGAGCGGTGCTAGTGCTGGGTCATAGGGTAGATCTATTATTCATTTTTTGAGGAACCTCCACACTGTTTTCCAGAGTGGCTGCACCAGTTTGCATTGTCACCAACAGCGCAAGAGGGTTCCCAGCAATAACACTGCTAGGAATTTAGCCAAGAGATACAGGAGTGCTGATGCATAGGGGCACTTGTACCCCAATGTTTATAGCAGCACTTTCAACAACAGCCAAATTATGGAAAGAGCCTGAATGTCCATCAACTGATGAATGGATAAAGAAATTGTGGGTTATATACACAATGGAATACTACGTGGCAATGAAAAAGAATGAAATATGGCCTTTTGTAGCAACGTAGATTGAACTGGAGAATGTTATGCTAAGTGAAATAAGTCATACAGAGAAAGACAGATACCATATGTTTTCACTCTTATGTGGATCCTGAGAAACTTAACAGAAGACCATGGGGGAGGGGAAGGGAAAAAAAAAAAAGTTAGAGAGGGAGGGAGCCAAAATATAAGAGACTGTTAAAAACTGAGAACAAACTGAGGGTTGATGGGGGTGGGAGGGAGGGGAGGGTAGGTGATGGGCATTGAAGAGGGCACCTGTTGGGATGAGCAACGGGTGTTGTATGGAAAGCAATTTGACAATAAATTTCATATTAAAGAAAAAAAGGTTTACTGTTAAAAAGAAAACAACAAAACCAAAACCTACACATTGCAAAAAGCAAAGTATGTAATTATAAAAATGGACAGATATTACTAGTGTCAAATTTTAAAATGTCTAAATTATCAGGAATCTCTTAAAATTAATTTTCAATTAAAACAACTGGTGTCAGTTCCAACCAGAGCTACTGGACCACTGACACTATTCAACTCAGAACAAGTTACAATTTGTTTCTGGCTTTGTATTAGGGATATTAGCCGATGTAATTAGAAATCAGACTCTGTCCTTAGCTGGGAATAGAAGTTATAGAAATAAAGAACTAAGAATGTCAGAAATGATTAAGTAGCAAAATGGGATTTAATTAAAGTTTTACAGGATCTTGGAAGAAAAAAGAAAACAAACCCTTTTTAAACAACAGGGCTTACAATTCTAAATGTTGGAAGGTTTATGTTTAATACGTATAACTGCTTAAGTAGGAAAAGTGACAACTACATATTAGGGAAGGATCACTGGAGAGTTCTTCCAAAGATATTTCTGTTGCTCTTAGGTTTAAGGTTAATAACTAGTTAATAACTAGTTAATAAGGCTAATAAGGATTTAAATAAATACTGTGCAAAGATGAGTCCAGGAAAGATGCATTCCCTTCGCATTCTCGTTTTACAAATATACTAATGTGACTTTTTAGAGATCTTACTTTACGTCTGGGCCTCCAGTCCCAAACTATGCCCCTCCATGAAGTTTGTCCTCTGTTTCCTGACCTCATACCTACCACCTCTCCCTTCTTAAAACTGCTTGAGCTACTTTAATACGAGTCATTTTCATGTATGCATTTCTCCCCTTGATTAGAAAGCCACAGAAGAGTGAGATGACTTGGGGTACTGGCACCAGTGTACTTCCTACCATAGAAGTGGCCTAAAATAATTTCCTTAGTAATAAGATGTGATACGTAACTGAGCACACACTGTATGCCAAGCAGTTTCCATACACTAGATCTTATCAGTCTTCCAAACAGTATCCTGGGAGATTGGTATTATTTTGTCCTTTCAATGAAACTGAGACTTAGAGAGGTTAGGAAACCGTCTCCAGGTCAGAGGGCTTAAAGCAGTGAAGTCTAGATCAAACGCAGGTAGCCTACTTGTGCAAGCTATTATTAACCACATGCTGGACCCCTCACCTACGCCAACCACCTTTGACCTTTAGTGTCTTCATCTTTAAGTGAGGACAAGGATACTTCTGGAGACAAATTCTTGTTAGGGCTAAAGTAAGATGTGGAGTACCTAAGTAATACCTAGAATAACAATTTACAGCCCAGGATTGAGATAATTGAGATAATGGGCTATATGTTGAGTTGATATACCCTCAAATCGTTATGAAAATCGACACTGAAAATGCACATCAGGGGGGCACCTAGGTGGTTCAGTCGGTTAAGCATCTGACTCTTGGTTTCAGCTCAGGTCATAATCTCGAGATTTCATGAGTTCAAGCCTCACGTCAGGCTCTGCACTGGCAGTATGGAGTCTGCTTAGGATTCTCTCTCTCCTTCTTTCTGCCCCTCCACCACTCACACTGTCTCTCAAAATAAATAAACTTAAAAAAATTTTTTTAATGCACACCAGAGATAACTGAGCATATTTTCATTTCTAAACAGGGAATATTAATGAATATCATCTATTAGGACTGCTATGATGCCTATACATTATAGATTTCAAAGCACTTCACAATGATGAATTGTTATAAAAGTTATATGAATAATCAGATGCATAGGACACTTACACATTACATCACTGGAATGAAATATACAATATTTCACAGAAACAAAATGTAGCATCTGAAAGTTAAGTCACAGCCAATTCTGTTACATGAGAAGCATTTGCTATAATAAACAGACACTTGTTAAAATCCTCTCCATCTGCAAAAATACACTTTCTAAAATATAAAGATGTGACTTTGAACAGTCTGAGGAATATTAAGATTTTATAGCATCAAAATATTTCACCTAATTCTTCATTGAGAAGTCACTGAAGCCATTATACAATAATTTAATCTAATGGATGAATGAATCTAGAGGTTAAATATCATCGGAGCATTATCAAATGGTCATTTAAACAAGTGATTCAAGTCTTAACTCCCATGTGTATTTAACCATATCCATTTCCTATATGACACCTTCCTTCCTTATACATCTAAGCTTGGATTTCCATTTCTCCTATAAAGTAAATATTTCCTCTTTG